AAAAAACAGACAAATAAAAGAAACTAATATTTAAATAAAAATAATAAGTTAAGTTGTTTGGGCCAAATAAACTTTGTATAACCGGCAATAACAATAGAGGACTACAGTTAAAGTAATCGTTCATCGAATGAACTTGGATTACGATTACAGTAATCGTAGCTTTAACTTTTTTGAAATTACGATTACTGAAATCGTAATCTAAGTTCGTTCGATGAAGGATTACTGTAATCGTAATCTTGTTTTTAGCTCGTTGGGATTACTGAAATCCTAGTCGTTTAGTAATCGTTATCCGTACGCCCAGCTCTGTTATCGATTAATGGTGGTCGCTATCGCGATACTATCGGAAATCTTTGTACAGGGTGGGCCAACTTGATTTGCCAAATTTGAGCATGTAGCCTTTTAAGTAAGTACGATTTTGGATGTTGGACAAATGCATCAAGTTATATTTATGTAGATATGTACAGAAAAAAAACTTACATATATCGCACGCTTGCCTTTTGTTTTTACTTTAACAATTTGCCACTGCACACTTCATTTTGCCTTGTAATGTTTCAAACTACGCAGAAATATTAACGCACAAATGGATAAATTGGAAATGTTTAGTTTTTTCCCACTGTTTTTGGGCTAACGGGCAGAGCGGCAGGGGGCGTAGGACTTGATATCCAACCCACTAGAAAGAGTATAGTTCACACTTTGTAAAAAGTCACACTTGACCCCTTGAATCCTTCCACAGACCCCTGGGCAACCATTGGAAAATGGTCTAAAATTAGCATTTTGAAACCGAAAATTTAAGCATTCGTCCTGAAATGCGATTTCTTTGTAAAAACCATTTTGAAATATGAGTGTTTTTACTCTCTACAAAATAATTTATGCAACCTCACATACGCAGTTGTGCATTTTGTTGATACACACGGTTTTGTACTTTAAACGACGATCTGTTAATTGTTTATCAAAGGGCGGTCTGTTCAAGCCAACTTCAGGTGTTTTGCATAAATCAAAAATTTGTGAAATTTAATGATGATGCGTTAATCACAAAGCCTAATTTTTTGCAAAATCTGATGAGAAATTTAAAAGTAAATTTGAACCAAACTTTAAAAAGGTTTTATTTGGGAAGAACATTCTTTAGAATTCGACTTTTAAATCGCAAGATTGCAAAATAAGAAAACAAAAAAATAAAAGAATAAGGCGCGCGGGGTCGAGTAAAATTTATCGAAATTTGGCATCACCCCATTCGATATCGAGCAGACGTTCGAGTAGAATTATTCAAAACACCATTCGACAGTAAATTTTGCATCGAGAAATGGAAAAATAAAATATTTGCTGAAGTTTGACCAAACAAAAGTAGTTTGCTATGGGAGTCGCCAAACTCGCTCTCTCCGAGTTTGCTGCAACAACAATT